CCGGCCCTAAAGCCGTGCTGCTGGCAGGCCAGAAGCAAGAGAATGAAGAGCTGGAGCACCGAAAGCAGGCATGAGGGGCGAGGACAGTTGTTGCCCGTCGACTTCCTTGCAAGTCACGACTGTTGCTTTCACCATTGCGCGTTTTACAGGTCAATAGGGATATCAAGTACACCAGCACAAGTCGGAATGCTTACACCGCAAGTAAGTAGGATCCTCAAAAGGAGAAGCTGATGATGGAAACCCTGAACCCCCCCAGACTAAGAGCATAGCCACCTTCTTGCTTCGTCCGTCTTCCGTGCTGCTTGCAGCATGTTGCAAACCAGGCTACAAACACTTGCTTCTGACATGTTCTCCTATCCTTATCAGAGGTACAACCCCTCCATCCCTAAGAGCCCGAAACCACAAGATGTCCGAGACCCTTTAAAGCCCCGAGCCGATAATTCTTGAACCGACTATAGAAGCCTGAATACGTTTCAACATGTTCCTCAAAGCTCCCTCATTATATACACCGACCTGGCCCTAAGTTCTTGTACTATGTAGTTATAATCCTGTAAGTTCTTGTACTATGTAGTTATAATCCTCTAAGTTCTTGTACTATGTAGTTATAATCCTCTAAGTTCTTGTACTATGTAGTTATAATCATTATAACTACATAGTACAAGAACTTAGAGGATGCCTTGCACAGGTAGGTGTATGTCCCTAGCGCTTCAACCCGGCATCTCAACACGATACACCTAGCTGGGCAAGATATCCTCTACTTGTCACCTAATATCAAGCCCCAAAACTTGTTTTTTATTATCAACCCCAAAAAGTAAACCCAAAACCCTAAACCCCAAGCCCCAAAACTTGCTTTTTTATTATCAACCCCAACAAGTAAACCCAAAACCCTAAACCCCAAGCCCCAAAACTGTTTTTAATTATCAACCCCAAAAAGTAAACCCAAAACCCTAAACCCGACGTACTCCATGCTGAGAATTACGTGGGCCTCCCATTGTACCAGGCCCAAGCTTCGCAGCAGCGTGCGGAACTCAAGGCACTGCCTGGCCGGGCTTATTGGGGGGGGGGGGGGGGGGGGGCGTTGAAGGTATCATGGGGCCCTTTAGGGGTTTAGGGGTTTAGGGTTTAGGGCTTAGGGCTTAGGGCTTAGGGCTTAGGGCTTAGGGCTTAGGAAGGAGGGTTCAGGGTGCAGGCAATTATGGGGAGCTTATGGAATGAGGCTGGCTCAGGGTTCAATCTGGGCTTAAGGCCTGGGTTCAGTTCGGTATGTGTCCTAGAATTGGGGATATGTTATGATTATGTAGGGATCTGCAAAATCAGGATACCATTCTTTGGGCTCTGCTTTGAGTGGCTTTAGTTTCTGAGATTCTCTTGTAGGTTTAGTTAGGAGTGCTTTGAGCATTCATGCCTTTTGGATGCCCGCAGGTCTCGCTGCCAAGGGGCCTATGGTGCTTTTAGGGTTCATACAGGTGGCCTCCACCGTGTTTCTGGCTTGTAAGGTTTCGGGGTGGACGATTCGGCTGGCCAGGAAGTGTAAAGAGCGGTCAACCTTGTTGCGCTGCAAATCAGAGTTCAGGTTCTTCCGTGTCTGCATCTGCACTTCCTCGCCCAGATCGCCGATCTAAGAAAACTGCTGTAAGGACGAGGCTGCTGTCAGAATAGCTACCAGACGATGATTGAGAGTTGCCGAGGTTTTTCCCTGCTCTGATCCGAATCTCATGAAGTCTTGGGGGAGGACAGGTCGCCCTAACTCGGAAATGAATGTAGCTCGCAGGGTTATAAAGAACATAGCCTTGTGGGGGCTTCGGCCTGTACTCCGTCTCCGGCACTCCAAAAAGCACCTCCCGAGTGGGTCCTGCTGCATGAATGGGCGATTTTGAGTTTGACCTTTGTCCGGAAGCCGTTTTTGAACGCTGTAGAACCTGAAGGGTGGATCCCGTCTCTGAACCACAGATACCCAAAGTCCGCAGTCACTCACAGGTTTCTTGGAAGGTCCGGCGAGCCTGCGTGACTCTCTAGAGCCTTCCTCCACTGCATGCGGCCCGGCCAGGCAGCTGAGGAAAGTGCTCCTAGCCCTTTGGTGCAAAGGCGCAGTCTCCGTCAAGATCACAGTCATGGCAGCTTGTAGAAATTATGCATGCTGCTGATGATGAAAGCGGACGAGGAGGATGGGAGGAGGGTGCTGGAGAGTTTGTTGCCACTGCTGATGACGACGATGATGTTAATGAGAGGGATGGGGACGAGCAGCCACCACCGAAGCCGTTCAGAAAAGATGTTGATGAGGAGCCAGGCAGCAGGCGGGATACGGAGTGGAGGGCGGACGGAGACGGAGGTGGAAGAAAGGAAGATTCTAGAACTAGCTGATGGTGCTGGGGCTCGAGGAGAAGTACGATGGGATGCACGACAACGACCATGACCTTAGAGTAAGTAGCTGCAATGATGATGCCAGCGGTTACAGCGGCTCCAGGGTTGGGTTCAGCTTGAGGGATTTTCCAAGTTCAAGTGTCGAGGGCTCACTTGCCAGTGTCTCGAAAGATATAGCCTCCAAAGTCATGGTTTTTTGGTGGGGATTGTAATGGAAAGTGTCGGAATCTGGCTCCTAGTGATACCGGTGTCTAGCTCTACTTTGAAAGCAGCCCAGGGCCCTGGCAAGCTCGCCTCCCAAGCCCTAAGACAATCCATCAAGCAAGGCCCAAGCCTCGGAATGGCTCCTTCTTGAAACCCCGAAGAAAGCCTAGAAAATCCCTGGTTCCAAGTAAGTTGCAGGAAGATCTTCCACCTCTTCCAGCACACAGGCGCATCTTTGGGGAACAGCCTGGAGCTTTCCATGTTAGACGATGGAGCCCCAAACCGCAAATCCTGAAGCCCGAACCCAAAGACTATGGCCTGGACCCTATAAGCCCCAGAAACCCTGGTCGCTCTACCGTTTCGGGCCCCATGACCTTCCTGACAAGAACAAGGGGAGCCATGCGGGACTCGAAGGCGCACCCTCGTGAGAAGCTTTCCCATCGCGCTTACATCGAGGTGTACCTCGAAGAAATGATCAGTGGTTGTCAATGTAGCCCCTCCTGCGTTTCGGCCTTAAGACCGCAAGCTCAATCCACATGCTTCAACCCCAAATCCTAACCCCCAATCTTCCTTGGTGCGCTACGGCAAGAAGGGCTCGGATCTCTCTGCCATTCAGAATGGAGGCGAACTCCACAACTTGAGCAGGAGGACTTCTGAAGTTACGGGTCATATCAAAGGGCCAATATTCGTGTCGGGGCCTAGGATTCCGTCTTACTCTGACCTGAACCCACCGACCAGGCAGTGGCCCAACATTTCGCTACGAGCCATGTGCTCAGGTGAGTGTCAACGCCTAGGCGTTTGAGAAGGCTGAAGGGGTGTAGAGCTTTGGGCTTAGGGTGGAGGAGCATCGTTATGCGACTTAGTATCGGCGTTGTCGCGTGTATGTCAGTGTATGCTTGCATGCGCGTCTATCCTCTCAGGTTCTCCTTGCTCTCTAAGTCCACATATGTCTATACAAGAAATGCTGTGCGAGTTTTTATTTGTTTTATGTCCCCCTCCATGATCTACCTCAGGACCCCAGGCTGATTCATAACGTGTGGACAGAAAGTGTGCATTCTGTACAAAACTGCCAAGGAGAGCTAGAAACACTTAAGCGTCCGCGAATGTCTGGCTTCAGGGGTGTAGGAGTCTAGGGGTTTAGGGTTTAGGGTATTGTAGTGAATTAGTCTAGAAAGTTGGAGCATTGATTGAGGATGATTAGTGCTTTGCTTTGGATTGAGAGCATCAAATTTCTTGTTTCTGAGTGGTTGGGGTTTAGGCTTTAGGGTCTAGGACCTAATAAAGCGTACTGGGGAATGGACCCTACAGGCATCCTGCTTCCTCAGCCATGAGGCCCCCGCCGCGTCTGAACACGAAAGACTGTGGCTTTGGCAAAGGCCCATACATCTGTCTGAGCTTTCCAGCGGTTCTGACCTAGACTCGGATTTATGCTTGAGGGCGTATAGGGTTTAGGAGACCAGGACCCGAGTTGCATGGATCCCATTACCTCACGAAGATTCCACTGAGTTTAACCAAACTTCAATCACTGATCATGGTCTTGGAGGCTTGGCATCGTTGATCTAAGCAGCTAGAGTCAGCTCGAGGTGGAGGTTTCAACTTCCGGACGGAACATCGGGTGATTGCTGGGATGAGGGTTTAGTCGGCATGGGCTGCGGTTTGGGTTTGTCGAATGCCGAGGTTGCAGTTGAATGTAGCCATGCCCGCTATCATGATGTTTTCGGGCTTGGAGTTTCGAAGCCAGCATTGCCTGAATCGAAGGAGTGGTGGCAGGGGTACATAACGGGTAACATGGCCATTGCAATCGTTGTAACTGGCCATAGTTTTCGGCCCAAGATCACCGCCAAAACCCACGCAATTCCGATACACCCCGAGCCTAAACCTCAAATCCCAAGCCTTCAACCTTATTGACTAGCTTCAAAGGCCTGCAAGCCTAAACCCTAATCTATCCTCGAGAACAGAACCCTAAATAGCAATCCCGAAACCTGAAATGAAGCTAAAGCGTTCCAAGAGGCCCAGAGCCATTCCCCGCCGTCTATGTCACCGAGAAGTGGGACGGAACCACGATGCAGGTCAGGTGCAGAGAGCAGAGTCTCTCAAAGATTCAGAGGATGTTTCTCACGGCTTGAGACTGGGAGGGTGGGTTGAGCCGGGGCCTGGCATGGTACAAGACATGGGGCCCTGGAGTGCACCTGGTCCAGTTGTTGGGCTCTTGGCGTTGAGTTCACAGATTGACTGTGGAGTCTCTCTGCTTGCTATACGAGCCGAAGGCCCTTGTGCTGGAGGCGGATCATACTGAAGGGGGGGTTCTATGAGAGCACGGTCTAGGTCCTGTATACAGGCTACTGTACAGGGTGATCAGAATCGGATCGTGTTCTTTCGTGCAAAATCAACCCCACCCCACAGACTCAACACCTCGCTTACGCAGCTGAAGAGCCATGCTGTCGAGCAGGGACCGGGCCGCACTGGCCTTCCGCACCGCTGTCGCGGTGCTGTTGGTGGCATTTGCTGGATGGCTGCTTATTCGGCCGCTGGGAATTCCGCAGATGTCGACCACGGGGCTGGCCGTGATCTTGGCCTTCCTCGCGCCGGCAGCCCGACGTGGAGAAAGCTGTGCCGCTGGGCTCACCTGGGCAATGTCGACCATCCTCTTATTTCCCACTGGCGTTGCGACTTGTTACCTATGCTTCCTAGTGGGTGGCATGCAGTGGCGCCCATGGCTGGTGTGTATATGCATGGGCGCCACAGCGAGCCTTGTTGTGATTTGGGCAGCAGTGGCGGCTGAGTTGCAGGCGCCGAAGCCACTGTTGGCTGGGAATGCAGCGGCGGTCGTGCTGGCACTGCTGATGCCCGTCATAGCGTTGAGCCCAACATCGCATGAGCAGATGCTCGTGCTCGGCGCAAGCATGTGCCTGTCGATCTTGGTCGGAACGTTAAGCGGCCTAGCTGTTAGCTACCTGCCCTGCGGATTGGGTGCGACGCCTGCACACGAGCAGGTGCCGTGTTTGACTGCGGCGAAGCTGGCGGCATTGGCCGAGACCTTTGAGGCCGAGTGAACGACGTAGCCAAACCGGTGACAGAGAACTGCAAATTATCCTTTCATACAGTTTGCATATATATATATATATAGATAGATATAGATATAGATATAGATATAGATATAGATATAACTGAGCTACAAACCAAGATGGCACATCACAGAAAGCGTGGCCCAGGGCACGTATAAGAGCGAAAGTGTGAGATGTTGGGTTTCCGTTCCGGGCTAATTTGAGTGCTACGACTCCGACAGTTCGGTTCCGTTCTAACCGCTGTTCCGCCTGGAGGCCGCCGCCATATTTCAGCTGCCGACGAAGGCTGCGCTGCAGCGTCATCGCCAGTGCCGCCTGAAGCTCCTAAGCTCCGGAGAGCAGCTGGCGGCCGCGATGAAGTCCGCAAGCTTCGAGGCGACGGAGCTTCGGATCTTGGAGAAGGATGAGAACAGCCCAGAGCAGGGGGAGGACCCGTCGAAAGTGCTGCTGAAGCTTGCGGAGCGGTGCCGCTTGGCCTTGCAGATGAAATCGAGCATGCTCTGTGCTGGCTTCAGCAATATTACCTTGGATTCGTTTTACCGGGGAGTTATGGGTGAGCGACTGCGTGATGTGTGCTTCTCCTCGGCTCATGCACTCCGAGCAGCAGCGGCGACGCTCAGCGCTCTCTCGGGCAAGGCCGACGAGGCCTTCCTGACTTCCGCGTCGTGGATGGGCGCAGACTTGGCGACGAAGGACGACTGTAGGGAGCTGGCGGAGCAGTGTCGCAAGAGCCTGCAGCGCTACATGGACAGTCAGCTTGAGGCCGCGCATGACCCTTTGTGGAGAACTCATGCCGAGGAGACTCTCCGTCAACAACTTCCCGTGGATGACGACCCTGACGGCCCTGACGGCATCTCCTTCATGGGCCTCGTCGATCTGTATTTAAAAGGAGCCCATCACTTGGACACTCAGGATTCCGTCCAGGCAGCTCGTGTGGCTGGCTTTGATGAGGCTTGTCGACACAGCTGCTGCGTTCTGGGTGTCAAGGCCGCCGCGGAGGCGGCCGCCGCAGCCACGGAGCTCATCGCGGAGCGCGTGTCCGAGCCGGAGGCCCGGGGTCCTTGCCGGCTTTGCGCTTTGGTTGGGCCGAGCTTTACGGGAGCTCGAAGCTGGCTAAGGGTGCCCTGTGCTGGACGCAAAGCTTGGGAGAAAGGCCTTGCAAAGGGCCGGTCCCACGCACTACGCCTGGGCATCGCGGTGATGCTCACAGGCTTCTTTGTGATCTATGTGCTGCGGCGCTTCTCGGAGAATGACAACGGGCTCTGGACTTTGCTGACTGTAGCGATGGGCATCATGCCAATGGAAGGATCCCGGAAATGCATCTGGAGTTCCTCAGAAACGTAGCCGCGTAGCCTGCCTTTTACCTGCATGTTACCTGCAATTATATATAAACCCTAAACCCTAAACCCTAAACCCTAAACCCTACAGACTCTTTCACTCGACTACGATAGAAGGCTGTTTTCTTATGACTCGAGATATCTGCCCAATGCATCTCTCCAGGGCTCGGGCCCCAGGGAGCCGCCAAAACCCAACACTCGAAGCAGCCTTGGTGCCATTATATGAGGGTTTCCGAAAATAGGGGGGTACCTTATTCTGGGGTCCTTATAATAAGGATTCTACTATTTGGGGTACTATATTAGGGTCCACTATTTTCGGAAACCCCCATATAGGTGCTATTAGGGTTTAGGGTTTAGGGTTTAGGGTATTATATACATGCCCTGATAGGCCTGTGCTGATATACTGGGTAGACACGAGCTCCATATCGAGACGCGGTGTTGGCAAATCGTCGTAGTTCGTTGGTCCTCCGTTTTGGTGTTCACGTGGGTTGGCAGCGAGCATATTAGGCTGCTACCGATTAGCATCGGCATTTTGTGAGTATATTATGCTGTAGTAATTATATGTAAAAGGGACCAGTAGAGTGTAGGGGATGCAACAAAAGACTCGCGAAGGAGCTTCCTTGCTGCGGGGGCTCCGTCGCCTGGTAGGCACAGCTGTGGGCTCCATTCTCGCCTTGGCCTCTGTGGCCGCTGTGGGGTCTTGGCCCTTCTTCCCGGAGCTCACGCCTCATGTCTGCTTGCTGGCGCTCGTGATGAAATTCTACGAGCCCGAGCTGCAGTTCGCCGGCGCCATCACGTTCGTCACCTACCTGGTCGTGCTTCTAACCCTGATTGATTCCGAGAAGACGGCGGACGGCGCCCCGGTGATGCCGGCCGCGGAGTCCATTGCCCTGCGGCGTTGTGTGGATGTCGCTGCCGGCGTGATGCTGGCCATGGTGGCGAACGTCTTCATTGCACCCGACAGGGCTGTTGATCAGCTCCGCCTGCGCGAGGCCACAGCCATACGAACTGCAGCCGAAGCATTGAAGGAAGCTGGCAGAGTCCTCTGGGCCAAAGCTGCCAGGATGGAGACTGCCGGCAAATGGGAGCAACTGAAGTTGGACACGTGGAAGTCTGTGGAGGAGCTCCAGTTCGCAGGAGACGGGCACCCAGGAAAGGGCGACTTGCTCGAAGAGGTGCTTTGGGAGAGTCGCTGGGGTGTGGATGCCGGGTTTCTGGTGCTCAGCCGCATCCTTTGGGTTCCTGGCTGGGCCCCCTCCGTGCCCGGTCGGCGATGCATCAACGCCGTCATCGCAGCAAGCCGGCTGGTGCGGATCACGAACGTGCTATGCCACGTTCTGGAGCCGGGCTTGGAGGAGGGCGCACAGCGGCCGCTGGAGGACCAGGGGGTGCTCTCCGCCCTGGGCCCGGAGGCTGCCGACTTCACCTCCTTGCTGGACGAAGCGGTGGATCGCCTCGCAGCACGCCTGCAGCCCGACAACTGCAGTGCCAAGAAGGCCCCATGGCCTCAGAAAGAGCTCGCAAGTCTGGAGCAGCGCTTGGAGCGGCTCTTCGTCGCCTCAGCCTCTGCTAGGCACCGGAACGGTGGTTTGATCGGCGAGTCCAAGTCGCTCGGCGGCCTCCGCGCGGCCGCCGCCTTGAAGCTCGTGCACGGTGCAGTCGACACTTTCATCACTCTCGCCAGGCAGCTGGAAGGCAGCATCCATGAAGACAAGCACTCACTCCACATGTCGCTGAGCAGGCATGCAGTTGACGAGTCAGAATCAGAGTCGACCGGCTCAAGTGATGAGGGGCTTTGCTAAGATGCTGCTACAGAGTGCACGAGGAAATTAAAATCAGAGAAGCCATAGTCAAGGCAGTCGCTCATTCTGCGAGGGCTTCTGTGAAGAAGAAGCGAGACCCGGAAGCGGCTCGCTGCACTCTCGCAGGCGACCTCCACCCACATCTTCAAGCGCTTGGACTTGTGGGGGCTGCTGCCTTGGAGTGCATTGCACCGTGCAGGTGTGTTCCTGCTCTGGCTTGGAAGCTTCATATTTGAAAGCATTGCTGCACAGGATTCCAGCCCAGGCCGGGCCTAGTATCCAAAGCCCTTTGTCCTAATTGGATTGTATGTTGGGATGCATCCTACATTGAAGTACCCCGATACTTTGACACATTGATCCGTGAGAGAATGATAGAAGATCAGGCTGTGCAACACGGTCAACCCGCTTACAATCACGAGTCCAAGTCTCTGCATGTCTAAGTTCTACCAGAGAGTGTCTGTAGCCGTGTGGTCCGAGCGACGAGTTGGGCGGAATTCGGTTCTCGATAGCATCGCATCTCTGCTCTCGTTCCAGGTTCAGGGACAAGTCCGAGCGCAGAGATGTGATGCCGTCATATTCGAAGCCAGCGTTGCCTCATACACCCTGGGTGAGCTTGTCGATGGTAGCTGGGGCAGTGTGCATGAGATTCGTACAAACTCCGCAAGCTTTGTCACCTCTGGCTGGGAACATGTCCCCAACATGGCCCTGGAGCTCATGGGCTGCTGTTGCGCACAGACCAAGGACAGCTCAGCAAGAAACTTGCTTGTAGAGCTGTCCTGATCTTCTGGAAAACGGAGTGGACCTGGTAAGAGGCCGATGAGATCCAAAGTCACAATTTGGTCCTGGGACCATGGACACTAAGGTGCCCGTTATGATCGTAGCGCCGAATTCTGCGGCTGTGCTGCCAGGATTTCTGCGAGGTCAAAAAGTTGCTAACCATGGCAAGTGTTTTGATAGTGTTGGGGATGTTGGTGCAAGAGCCCATGCTCAGACGGCGCGTGCCTGAACACTGCAGAGGAAGGGAAGCTCGCAGACCAACGCGACACAACGGTAGCGTTTTGGCGGAATTCGGTTCTCGAGCGTCACATCTCTGCGCTCGGTCATGTCTCTGAACCTGGAGAAAGCCGATAATGTCTATCCCGTGCTACAAAACAGACATTATCAGCCTTCTCCAGGTTGAGGGACAAGTCCGATTGCAGAGATGTGATGTCGTCATATTTGAAGCCAGCGTTGCATCATACACCCCGGGCGAGTTTGTCGATGGTAGCTGGGGTGGACCTTTCGCACCCTGATGATGAGCTGGGATGGCACATCAAGATGCGGAAAAGCGACGGCCACAGCATCTGCCAGGTTCAAAGGGTTCTAGGGAAGACTTTGCCGATCTGCCACAAGCCGCCTGTTGCCCCGCATTTGCAACACGCTCCCTTTTCATCATCACCAGGATGTGTACACACTGAGCTCCCGAAACCTCCTAGGCAGGAAAGCTCAAGCACTCGGTCACCCAAAGTTCAAAGCCAGAAAACCCAGCTGCCAACCCCGTTGGACGTTAAGCTTCACTCGTGTCCTCAATCTTCGATACCTGGGCCTGGACCGCCTCCCTCCGAAGACCCTGAACCCGCCTTCCCTCAGTATGCCAAGGAAAAGAAAAGATGGTGCAGATGCAACGCAGCGCCGCTCGGACTTGTCAAGTGGACTTCCGGCCTCTGGGGTCTTCAAGGGTCGCTGCCTCTATTGCTAAGATTGGGGTAGTTCGTAAGCATCATTGTACAAATTGTATTGCTAAGATTACGGTTGCCAGAATTGCACATGTCCAGAAGCCAAGATCAGGACCACTGCATGAGGATTCTGTAAAGTTTAGGACTTGAGGCGGAGTTTAGCACATGTCCTCTCGCTGCACCGTTGTGGGCGTTAGTGCCTTCCGGTGTAGGATTTGGGCCTTTGGCCTTTGGGGCCCTGTGCAGTAAGAGGGGATTCCTCTGTCGGCTCGTGGCCTGGGGGGACTTGCAGTTTTTGCCGCTTCAGTCTTTGATGTGGGAGGTTCCAAAATGAGGGGACCCTAGTATAGTACCCTAAATAGTGGGATCCTTATTACAAGGACCCCCCCAAAATAAGGTACCCCTAATTTTCGGAAACGCCTATGTTCTGTTCTTGTTTCGGAGCTTCGGGGTCGGAAGACTTAAAGGCTCTTCTGGCCCGGCAGGTTCCAGGTACCAAGGGAAAAAGAGGAGGAGCCCAGAAGTAAACTCCTTCGATACACGATCTTACTCGGTTTGTGCCGAGTCGTGGCCCCAAGTAAAACCCTAAACCCTAAACCCTAAACCCTAAACCCTAAACCCTAGGCTCGGGACCTCAAAGGGCCTGAGAGGTAGTGTTGGTCTATGGAGTGTGGGAGGCTACGGCCTGCGGCTGCTAGCCTGGCGTGAGCAGGTGCCCGGCTTCATGGACTGAAAGCTTGTCTGCCGTTTTATGGTAATGTCTCGCATCTCTTGCGGGGGAACAAGAAGTTAGGGGTTGGAGACCTTTGTGTAGAGTCTAGACCCTAAACAGCATCCCAAAGAAAGGTTCCATGACGAATCGATAGCCCCCACAAGATACATCGAATTTTTGAGAACGGCTTTCGGTATGAAAGACTAGGAAAATCGTAAGCAGCCGGCCCTGAACTACCAGCGGGACTCCTCTGCTGCCCTTCCCCCTAAACTGCGAACCCTAGGCATTCAAGCATAATGCACTGTAGCATTAACATAATAAGTATTTTGGTATGACTTCTGTATGATGTGATGTGCGGTATGGTATGATAGGACACTGTATCCCGCGGCAAGCCGGACTGCGAACAAACTCGCCCTCTGCGAACCCGAGCCCAGATCCGAAAGACGGCGTAGATCTTCCCAGGGATAAAGAACCCACCCTAAACCCTAAACCCAGGGATAAAGAACCTACCCCAGGGATAAAGAACCTACCGCAGAAAGACGTAAGCCGAGCGCCAGGGACCGGGAGAGGATTGGAAGGGCCTGGACTTCGCCGACGGTGATCCCAGGATATTGGAGGCTCCCTGGAGCTATCAGGCTTCTTGAAGTTCAATGCTGCGCTTTGGAGATGTGGTCTTCGAACTCGGGGGTGAAGCCTCCGGGGCTTAGGCGATTAGAGGTCGAAGGCAGCCGGAACTGTACCTTTCCAAGCAAAGTGTCGTAATTCTAGTGGCTTATAGTAGTAAGCAGCGGTAGTAGTGGTGGTAGTCGCAGTAGTAGTCGTCGTAGTGGAAGTAGCAGCAGGAGTAATCGGCCTCGGGTAGGGTAGGAACAGGAGCAGTCGTGGTGGTGGCGATGGCACAGCAGCAGCATGGCAGAATCGGTGTTGAGTAGCATCGGTGCTAGAGTCGGTGGACCGGTTCATCCTCTGCATCATCGCCATCACCTTTAACAATCCCATCAGCATCCATGTCATCAACACGGCCCCTGACATCATGGCCATTGCAGCTGCTAGCATTATTCGACCGAAAGCTGAAGTTAGCCGTCATCGTCCAGCAAAGGCGTTGCGTCCGTACCTGGCGCGCCTTGCGGCGCTGGAGCCAGGGTAACGTTCTCAGATTATTTTGCAATGTGTCTTACTAAGACAGGGGGACGGTCTGCGGTTTTCGATGTGCGCGTCTTCTAGATTCTAGGTTGCTTTGACAAGCCTTTGAGGCCTGACCTGTTTGGATGTCCGGTACGTCTTTGCCTCTATTTGGAGCAAGACGGAAGATACAATGTATGGCTTCTGATAGATAGATTCTGGCGCGATGTAAGCTACGAGGGATTTCAGCACAGGCAAAGGCTAAGGATCTTGTGTAGATATCTTGCAAACGTAGGCATGTCGCAGCTTCGAGCTGCATAAAAATCCCCACGCCTATTTCCAATATTCCGATTCCTGCAAGCTCCTGTATCCAAGTTCCAGATTCCCAAGCCATCTACCCTTCAGAATTCTCAGATGTCGGCTTGGCCGGAACATGAGATCTGCAAGACCTCTCTGACATGTTGCTATGCTTGGCATCATGAAATAAGAGGGGGTGGTCATTAACTTCATGAGTCCTTCCTGCGACTTTTCAGTAGGGATACTGTAGCTTTTCGACCACTAACCCTCAACCCCTAAAACCTTAAACCCTACAGTCAGGCTCTTACTCCGGGGTTGCTCCTTCGAGCCTCATCCTGCGTTCTACTGCTTCACATGCTGCGTCTACGGCTACTAGTTCCGACACAGATTGCTGCTAGCGTCGCTTTGCCGAGTGCTGCTACAACAAACTACTACTGCTACTACTACTACTACTACTACTACTACTACTACTACTACTCTGCTATAGTCCGGCAATAAGACATTTCCTGGCCGTCTGCCAGGCTGTGCGTCTACTTCGAGGCTCGTGCTGCAGGGCTTCACTTCAAGCCCATGCGCCTCACGAGAGAAGACCCAGAGCCTCCAATATCCCTTAATCAAGGAATATTCCTTAAACTATAGTAGGATCCTCAATATGATTTAAGGTATATTCCTTAATTAAGGGATATTGGAGTCTCTGGGTACTTGCCAGAACTCTGAACTTTGGACCCCCAGGTTCTGAGAAAACCCTGAAGCTCCGAACTTCCACCCCCCCCCCCTGCTATGGATCATCATCTGCAGCTTTGGCTCACCCCTTCCTTGCTCTGTATTGTTGCTGACCCCTACAGTCTGTGCGTCTGTACATACATACTATCAACTAAAAATTCAACACATAAATGTGGGGCGGGAGAGGGAGGCAGGCTGGAGAAGTCAACTCCAGTAGTGGCAGGACGAGATCGGGTCCTTGTGTTTCCATGCGCAGCTGTATAGATAGCTACAACTTTCCGAGTCTTGACGGTGCTTCTTGCGTTGAGCTCTGGAGCTGCACCTCATGTCTGTTTCGAGCACAGGCTGTCCACACAGACATCAATGCGAATTTCAAGCATCTGCAGCCAGCTCGGTTCAGTGTTTGGACTTGTCGATGCAACAGCCAGAGCTGTTTTTTTTTGTAATCTTGTTGTCATCTTGTTTTCAAGTGCGCTTGTGGTTTTGTACTTTGTGGATCCTTTGACAACAGAATGACACGTACGATAAATGAGAGGCGTAGCATTGAAGGTTTTCCGACGTCCTGAAGCCAGAAAAAATCTTACAAGTCTAGAGTCTAGATTGTTCCATGATTCCATTTTCAGGACCAGTGCACCGACCAAGACCCTGAGTTTTTACTCTTTTGTCTTGATCTCCGCACATCTGCAAAGTATGCACATGTCACATCAGTAGCCTCATTACGGTTCTCACTCAGCGATATTTACATAGAGATGCATAGCTCGAAGCATGGCGCTTCTGTTTGCCAAGTCCTCCACAACCCTGATCAACTCAGACACCACAAACAATCAACTGCTGTTTTCCCAGGCCCGGATTCGCCGACATGCGGGTCTCCCATCCCCCAGATGAAGCCTCGGGTTGATTGGAGTTCGAGTGATTCTAGTGCAGGGACCCGGGGTCAGACTTCGGCAGTTTCAGTTTTGGGTTCAGGAAACCGGCTTGGCCGAAGTGGCCAAAGTTGGTGCCCAAGCCTTGCCATGGGAGTTGTTGCGCTCACACACCTGGTCGTGGTCACAGCTGCTCAAGCACATGCTTAGAACTGCAGCATGTTTTGTAAAATGGTGCGCCATCCCCACAATATACCACAAGCAGAAGCCCCACCCCCGTGGACCACAGAAGCGCCCAAGACCAAGACCTGAGGCGCCAGGTCCAGGTCTCCTGAAAGGGAAATTTGAAAAGAAGCCTTTAGCCCGACTCGAATCAACCCTACCGGCAAGGGTCTAAACTTTGATCCAGAAATAACCAGAAGCTTTCGAAGTGCAGCATCTCAGCCACACCCCATCATTGACTATTGGAAGAATGCTGCACCGCGGGCCTGTGTGGCAGGCGCTTGTGTGGGCTCGAACAAATGTTGAATGTCCGACTCTTCTGAGGAATTGTTTCGGGATGATGGGGATTGGTCTGTTTTTGTTCCTCCTCTGTGGTCGGCTTGCTCTGAGCATGTTGGCACCGGGCTAGTGGGAGTAAGATTTGTGGGGCTCCGCTGAACATGGTTCGGGGTTCGTGATTCCCCGACGGATGTTCGTCCGTCGTAGATTTGTGTTGACCCACGTAGCTCCCAAGATCCATCAATGGGAGGCCCCTCCGGGCTGATATGGACGATGCGCATCCGCTGGTGCCACTGCAGCCAGGTCAGCGTTTCTGAAGCGCTCACCCGAGTCCGTAGGACGTTCGACGCCATCGGGCCGTGTTCCCAAACCTAAATGGCTTTAAATCCTGGAAAACCCATCTATTCCAGAATCCTAAACCCGAAACCCTAAACTAAGCCCAAAACCCAAAGCCCAAAGCCC